TAAAAATATTTTTAAAAGTCTTTATCCAAAAATTAAGAAAAACTGTGGAGTGTCATAGAAATTCAGGTGTGGGAACCCTGTTAACAATAATGAAGCACAAAAAAAATATTGAAACATCTGTGAAAAGTTTATGTTTTAGTAGTTGTGAGGATCTTTAACGTAAATGCAGCTATTTGATGATTTCTGTGCAGTTCTTCTGCCCAGCGGAGCTCTTCCTCCTGCGGCTAAAACTGGCAGCATGATGGAGGCCATGACTATACAGCCCAAACCCGGACAGGGGCCTCCTGGTCAGAGCATCAGCCGGGCTACAAGGTCAGAATACTAAACAACCTTTGACCACATGCACACACGTGTGTACATATTCACTCTGACACTTCTGCCCTAAGCACTAATAGCCGCTAGTCCTTGCATAGAACTTCTGTAGAGTGTTTGGCGAGTCAGATTCCAGTAAAAGGTGAGTGTGCCCTTATCTGAACACAGAGGTGAAAAACGCCTGTAGGGAAATACAATTCCTATTCAAGTCCTCATTCACGCACACAGTGCCAGAGGACCAGACAAGTAGGGCACTCAGATTACTAATGGTGTTGCCAGCATGACCCAAGTCGAAATATCGTAGCTTTTAGTACTACAGAAACTGTACACAACATTCACATCTGTTGTTGTTGCTTGCAGTGCGGACAAAAGCTTCAGTAAAAGCACACTGATGCGCTCCGGATCCATCGAGAGACCAGGTAGATGTCAGAGAAACCATGTTGACTGTAAGTTGATGTTGTATTAATAAAAGGCTTGCGGCCATTGTTGTAGTGAAAATGCAAAGCTAATTGTGATGTCATTTCCTGTTTTTGTGGAACAGCTAAAGTTCCTGGAGGCCCCCAAAACTCCACTGGTCAAACTCTGCCCGCTACACACATGCCCAGGAAAACTTACCTGGTATGTTCAACCACAAGATGACACTCCAAATATGCAAATCCAGTCAATTCAAAGGAATCATCCAATATGGCATCCAAATATGATAAAAAGAAAAATATTTAGCATGTGTGAGATGATAACTGACATGTTCTTGTGTTTCCAAACCGGATCCGTGTGTGGTAAACAGAGGCCGAAGCGTGTGAAGGCCATGTATAACTGTGTGGCTGATAACCCAGACGAGCTGACGTTCTCTGAGGGAGAGGTGATCGTCGTGGACGGTGAGGAGGACCAGGAGTGGTGGGTGAGTATCCTGACCTCACTTCAACTCTATGTAGATGACACACACCTCACCTTCAAATATTAAGAGTGAGGGAACCAGAGAGGAAACGTTAGTTGACCATATTCCTCTTCCTGTGACTGGCTGCTTGTTAATAAGTAAACTCACCGAGGGCCGCGTTCTGGTTCAGTGTCTCTGGCTGAATACAGACTAGCTGCTTGTTTTCCACCAAATCACCCTCGTTTCCACTGGCCGTGTTTAGTCATTCAATCTCCACAGAGGCTCATCGGCGGTACAGTCAAAGATCTGTGTTCCTGTGTGACTTCTGTGCTATTTACATATCTGTGTGCTTCAGTGGGTTCAAGCTGCATTTCCACTTCATTTGTTTTGACAGTTGTTAAGAATTATTGATTTGAGTTGAGATTATTTTTATTTTATGAAAGTGACGTGACATGTGGCGACCCATACTCAGAATTAGTGCTCTGCATTTACCCATCCAAAGTGCACACACACAGCAGTGAACACACACACACAGCAGTGAACACACACACAGCAGTGAACACACACCCGGAGCAGTGGGCAGCCATTTTTGCTGCGGCACCCGGGGAGCAGTTGGGGGTTCGGTGCCTTGCTCAAGGGCACCTCAGTCGTGGTATTGAAGGTGGGAGAGAGCGCTGTACATTCACTCCCCCCACCTACAATCCCTGCCGGTACGAGACTCGAACCCACAACCTCTAACCATTAGGCCACGACTTCCCACAAGAGACCGTCTTAAACTAAGAAAAACTTCCGCTAAGAAAAAATGCATTTAGCTTATCATCAAGATTAGCTTCATCTGAGGACTCATTAATAAGAGTTTATGGAATCCTGTGTGTTTTTTTTGATGCTGTACTGAGGTTCTGGATTACCTTCTCGGTCTGGTTTTGGGATGAATGTGGTGTGACTAAATAGCCTAAAAGTGGTTTTTAGATCTCGCAGACAACAGACAGATAATCCAAAATTAATAGTTTAGAAAGGGATTTAAACCCTTCAAAAAAAAGACCTTTTCTGAGGGCATGATGTGGCTATTACTATCTATCCTAGATTTCAAATGTGTAATATGTTACTCATTTGAAATAGTCAAATTAACAATGTATGCAAATGAACAATATGTTTGTATCTAATTTAGTTGTCTATGAAACCTGGCACTGTGTATTACAAATATGGTTGGCTCTTTGATCTGCTTTGGATTAAAGCGTATATAATATTTTAGTATGTTTACTAAATAAAGTTTGAATGTAAATGGATGTAGTAAATGTGTGTAAAAAATGCTTTTATAAGTTAAATTAGGTGTTTAGTATTATTTATATGTTTAGCATTATTTATATACTATTTATATATATTAATATTTTTAATTTTATTTTATTTTTATTATTTCCTGCCGGTACGAGACTCGAACCCACAACCTCTAACCATTAGGCCACGACTTCCCACAAGAGACCGTCTTAAACTAAGAAAAACTTCCGCTAAGAAAAAATGCATTTAGCTTATCATCAAGATTAGCTTCATCTGAGGACTCATTAATAAGAGTTTATGGAATCCTGTGTGTTTTTTTTGATGCTGTACTGAGGTTCTGGATTACCTTCTCGGTCTGGTTTTGGGATGAATGTGGTGTGACTAAATAGCCTAAAAGTGGTTTTTAGATCTCGCAGACAACAGACAGATAATCCAAAATTAATAGTTTAGAAAGGGATTTAAACCCTTCAAAAAAAAGACCTTTTCTGAGGGCATGATGTGGCTATTACTATCTATCCTAGATTTCAAATGTGTAATATGTTACTCATTTGAAATAGTCAAATTAACAATGTATGCAAATGAACAATATGTTTGTATCTAATTTAGTTGTCTATGAAACCTGGCACTGTGTATTACAAATATGGTTGGCTCTTTGATCTGCTTTGGATTAAAGCGTATATAATATTTTAGTATGTTTACTAAATAAAGTTTGAATGTAAATGGATGTAGTAAATGTGTGTAAAAAATGCTTTTATAAGTTAAATTAGGTGTTTAGTATTATTTATATGTTTAGCATTATTTATATACTATTTATATATATTAATATTTTTAATTTAATTTTATTTTTAGATTTTTTTATTTGTATTAATTTTGTCATGTCTTTTTTGTCAATTTTTTCCGTCTGTTTTGCAGTTTTTATGTATTTATTTACTTATTTCAGTCTCCCTCTCTCACACACTATATATATATATATATCTCTCAAAAATACATTTTGGCCTTTTAACACACCTGTATGCAGTTTCAGGAACCTTTCTGACATACTTTCCCTTGATTGTTTTGTAGCTGGGCCACATCGAGGGAGAGCCAATGAGAAGAGGAGCGTTTCCTGTCACATTTGTGCAGTTCATCATGGACTGAAGTTCAGAGATCATAGACACTGAGCTGGACGGATGACGGCACTTCTCTGCTTCTGTGTGGCCTCACTGACCTTCATCATCATCATCATTGTCCCCTTTGTCGTGAGGCTTGTGTCTTCACTGAGCTTCCAAAATCCCTGGCTCTAACCTGGCTTGAGAGACTCTCTCTGGAATATAACAGCTTTCTGGGCTTTTTGTTTTTGGTTTGTGGACCAGATATGATTCAGAACTAATCTAGTTGCACTTTTAACCTAATTTATCATGACCGCAATGCTAATGAGACAAATGCCACTAAAATGAAGGTTTTATTCCAAGATCATTTACATCCTTATTCCTTTTAGATAGACTGCTCTATGCCGTAAAGTTGTGAGAGTCTGCATGAACATTCAGTGGCCTCCAGAGAGAGCAAAGGAGCATCAAGGAGGTTCATTTCTGTATAGATATTTATAAACTGGAGCTGTCCTTCTGTGATCTTGATTTAGATGCTCTTATTGATTGGAACGATCTTTTGCAGACCTTCCTTCAGTGTGCAGGCCGCTTGCCTTGAGAGATCTGTGGAACGGTGTCATTTATCAAATGGCTCATTCATTCTTAAAGTGATAGCCCAAAAATGAAAATGTGGTCATTTATGCTCTTTCAAACAGTGCAAAAGATGTACTGTGGAATGTCCAGAGTGCTTTTTCATAACGGGTCGGGGACTGTGGGTGTTGTGCACTATAAATGCGGTCCATGCTATTAGTTTTCTATATTCCAAGTCTGATGAAGTCCTATTGTAACTTTGTGTCAGGAACAGACCAATATTTAAATGGATTGTTCACCCCAAAATGACAATTCTACCCTTAAAAAAAAAAAGAAGATAATTTTATCACGTTCGTATAGTTCCAAACCTGTATGACTTATTTCTTCTGTGGAACACAAAAAAGATATTTTGAAGAATGTGGGAACCAAGCATCATGGGAGCCTATTGACTTCTATTGTAAAGACAAAAATAACTTATTTGAGAAATGTTTAAAAAAATATCTAATTTTGTGTTTCACATAAATTCATACAGGTTTGGAACAAGGGAGAGTGAATGATGACAGAATTGACATTTGTGTGTGAAGAAGTAAGGCGTTATTCACTGAAAATCATCTTCTGTGGTTCTCATATCTCATTCAGTTTAATTATGCTGTCAAGACATGCCAAGCCAGGTTTATGAGAGCCAAACATGATAAACAAATGATGTCAAACTTGGCACACGTCACATTAAATCAAATGCAAGTTTGAATGAGATTTGAGAACTGTGATCAAGGGGAAAGATAAAGAGTGAATAGCATTTTTACCTCTGTTGTTTTAGTCCCAACATACAGTATGTGTTCTGGGTACTTGGAATATAGCGCCACATTTACAATGTTGTTCTTGTCTTTTTAGAGCTTGACAGGTTTGTTGTCATTCTAGAAAAAGCACTCTTGACATTCTTAAATATTCATCCTGGCTGGTTCTGTGGAAGATAAAAAGGTTTGAAATATCATGACGACAGCATTTTCAGTTCTGGGTGAACTATTCTTTTAAGTTGCTCACTCTTTTCTTCAGCGTGCAAAACAGGACCATACTGAATAATGTTTTTACCTCGAGAGCTCCAAAACCTAGTCATTTTGAACAGATTCCAAGGTGTCAGTTTGAGATATGAATTATTTCCACCTCCCAGGATGTTCCCAGAGTCTCCCTGCTTTGGTTGGCCAGATGGGTAATAACTCTGCATCTCCTCTAATTGTATTCCAGGGGAAATTAAAATCCCTCATGTCATTTCCCCTCACAACACTTCTCTAAATCCTTTCTAAAGCTTTGAAATGCTCATCCATCTGTAATTGTGTGCAGGAGTAACACAGCAGAGCGTTTTATGTCATGAGTGTTTGATGTGGTTGCAGAGCAACTTAGAGTCTGTTATGTAACTTTTAATTACAGTCATGTTAGTCTTGATTGAGCTCGGACCAGAGTGCCCTGTGACTCGGGCAGTGGTGGGATGTAATTATCCTGTGTTCAGCTCACTGTATACGGTCGGCACCTGGCCGGCTGTGATTGTAGATAAATGTAGACTTTGCTTTGTGCATATTTAATTGTAAGCTGAGAGCTAAACTGATAATGACTGATGTTTTGACGTACTGTTAGAGTACACTTTTAACTAAGATGAAAACGACCTCTATTCACCCGTTTACCATAAACGTCATTGATGCTAATATATAAATATATGCATATATGTACAAATAAATGGGAAAACTGGAATTCAAAAAACTGCAAAAGAATTTCTTGTTCACGTGTTGCATTATTTGGGTAGGTTAAGTGAAAATGTGCCAGGTAAAGGGACATTAAACTTCAGGCTTTATGTTCCTTGATTAGGGGGCTGTAGGATGTTTTTGTTGTTATTATTAAACATGAATAGTTTGAAAACACTCCAATTATTCAACAGGATGAAAGCACTGCCATCTAGTGGAAACGAGGGGGAAAAAACGAGATGAAACTGCATTATTCGCATTTATTGTACCATATTAACTGATCTGATCCCACCTGGACCAGGAGGACGACAAAAGAGGGGCATGTACATATTAAAGATGCAGAGGGTTTGGGTTTTACAGCATCTTTGTGTTTACACTGACATTAATGTACCATGGTTTACACAAACCCACTAGAGCTCAACAAATCCCAGATTCACTGGCCCATAGTGGGAAATGTGCTCTGAGGTTGTTATTATATTTACATTAAATAAGATTAAATTAGGTTACAAAAATAGACGCAGCCCAAACTTGGCTTTTGGGTTGTGGTGGGGCTGATAAGAGAAGAGGATGCTGGGACTAATGTATATGGTGTAAACATGTGGTTGAGATGGCTGCCCTTTCATGCTGAACAAAGACGGATCAGCTGTATTGACATTAATCAAAGTGAGACAAATTCCAGCATTTCTGTCAGAAGCTTTTAAAAAGGGCACCTTCCACAAACAGACTTCAATCCTCCTCCTGCTGCTGCTGCTGCTGCTGAAGGAATGAGTGAGGGTGGAAGAACAGGATCACTCCCAAACAGACCTCAGGAGGACTTCTCTGAGGCCAGGGCACAGTCGAAGGAGGTGGACAGTACTTTACAGATGGCCTGGGCTTGTTCCTGTAGAGCACAGATTAACAAAGACAGCTGGAGTCTTCTATAGACATTGCAATTCAAAAGTTTGGGTCAGTTTTTTAGTACAAAATTGATACTTGTATTCAGCAAAGAGTGTTAAATTGATCAGAAGTGACAGCCATAACATTTATAATGTTACAAAAGATTTCTATTTCAAAGAAGTGCTGTTCTTTTGAATTTTCTATTATCAAAAAATCCTGAAAAAACGTATCCGTTTCCACAAAAATACCAAGCAGCACAACTGTTTCAACGTTGATAAGAAATGTTTCTTGAGCAGCAAATCAGCATATTAGAATGATTTCAGAAGGATCATGTGACACAAGACTGCTGAAAATTCAGCTTTGCATCACAGGAATATATTACATTTTAAAACACATTACATTTGTAATCATTTAAAAAAATGTAATATTTCACAATATTACCGTTTACTGTATTTCTGAGTAAATAAATGCTGCCTTAGTGAGCATAAAAGATTTCTTTCAAAAACAAAAAATAATCTTACCAAACCCAAACATTTGAACGGTAGTGTACTGTATAATATATGGTATGTTTATAGAATAAATATCAATATAAAAGACATACAGTACATGTAATATGTATGTAAAATAGATTTAATTAGTTCATGTAAATGTCTGATTGAACAATTCATCATCACTCAGTTAAAATAAATGTGTTAAAAGTAAAAATACATTGTCATTGTGTATAAATATATAAATGAAAATTTGTATCAGTAATCTTTGTGTTCATTTGATTTATAAAAAAAAAAAGGGCAATTGCTTTATAACAAGATTTTTATTATGTTTTATGTTTTGCCCTAATCATTTTAAATAAAATTGGTTACAATAGCCTTTTGGTCTAAATGATGGTTCCTCCAGTTTAAAATAAAATATATTCACCTTTTCACTCATTTCAGGGCTAACACACAAATAGTGAAATACTGTTTTCTGCTACATTGTCCAGGTCTAGGCCTAATTCATACTTGATAAGCCTTCAGAAAGACTTCCTGTCTTGAGGTCTTACCGCACTGCTGCACTGATACACCCAGATGCTGCACTCCTGCTGCTCTGCATCTGTGGTCTTCAGTGCGAGCAGGTTTTTTCCAGCACCCAGACCATCATCATAGCAAAGCATACGCACAATCAGGTAGAGCGGGTGACGGTGAAGCACATCCTGAGAAAATAGGGAATAATGATAGCTGATAGAGGTAATGTTCCGTTACAGTCCCACGTTATTATTTTGTGATCATGAATCTAAATGCTTCTTTTATATGGTGGATAAAAAAAGAGCCAAACCTCTCATATGAATATTAAACAATGACATTGGGTCAGGTGAATGAACTCACACACTGGTCCAATGAGGCCACTTTAACTCCATACTTGGACACTCCCAGAATCATCTCCTCATTTCCAGGCACAAACGGCAGTTTTCCATCTTGCTTTAAATTGAATACATGAAATATAATGAAGGTTTTTAAACAGCTTCAGTCTTAATGCATGATTTATGATAACTATTTAATTTCTGCTTTAATACCAGTGGTCTAGGCCAGGCGAAATAAGATAAAGTATTTTCCCTAAATATATTTCAACATCATCTGAAAATCGTAAGAATTATGGCTTCTAAAAAAGTGAAGTGGTCACATTAAAAAAAAAAAAAGCATAGTTTGCTAGATTAAAAGAATTGTTTACACAAATATGATTTTCTGAAAATGTACTCATCCTCAGACTATCAAATTTGAAGATTAGAAATGTACACATCACTTTCTCACCAATGGATCTTCTGCAGTGAATGGGTGCCGTCAGAATAAGAGTCCAAACAGCTGCTAAAAACATCTCAATAATCCAAAAAAATAATCAACACGACTAAATTCCATCAATGTCTTGTGAAACGAAAGGCTGCGTGTCTCTAAGAAACAAATCCATCATTACATCATTTTAACTTTAAACTGTCGCTTCTGGCCAAAATACCAGTCCATAACCCATAACACTTCCTCCAGTGAAAAAGTCAACTCCTGTTGTCCTCTCACACCAAAATCCACCAATATATTTGTTTAGAACTTTTTTGGACTCTTTTTGCTTATAAATAGTGCTTTTTTATGGATTATGGACTCGTATTTTAACCAGAAGCAGCGGTTTGAATTCATTACAAACAAGCATGTTTTCACTTGACAAGACATTAATTGATGGACTGGAGCTGTGTGGATTACTTGTGGATTGGTGTGATGTTTGAACTCTCATTCTGACGGCACCCATTCACAGCGAAGGAACCATTAGCAAGAAAGTGATGTAACATTACATTTCTCCAAATCCGTTCCGATGAAGAAACAAACTCACCTTCCTCTTGGATGGCCTAAGGGTGAGTACATTTTCAGCAAATTTCCATTTTTGGGTGAACTACTCCTTTAAGAGGGTGACATCTAATCGTCCCCTTTTGTAGATCCTTACCTGAGCTGCATCAATGTAGTTGATCAGGTCTAGAGGCTCCTGAAGGGTTTTGCTCATCTCAAACTGTAGCTTCTCGATGGCTCCCACATACTTGACTCTGAACTCAGCACAGGCGTCAGACACGGCGTTACCTGAGGGTTCAACAAGGTCAGGAACTAGTGAGGGTCACAAATGTACACACATGAGTTTCTAGATGTTTCAGTGAGGACTAACTTGAGCTCTTGGTGGAGTCCGTATCAAGACTGGCAACTGTGCTGGACCTAGACAGGCCTCCCAAACTGGAATCTACCGACTGGATAAAGGGAAATCAGTTTATCATGACCTTTGTGGAAAACAGAACTCAGCAGACAGAATGGCTGAATCCCAATTACTCCCTATATAGAATAACAAATCAGTGTATCCTAAACCATAGCAGTATATCAAAAGTGCACAGACTGTATACCGTACATTGCCCTATGGATTTTTGATTCACAGATGCATTCCTTTTGAGCTAATACTGGTCACAACCCCTTTCACTGCACCCTTTGGTATCAAGGTTTAATTTTAATATGTGGAAGTAAGTCCCAGTACAAGCATACTGGCTCAGTTCATATTTGTAAGTACATTTCAGCATAACAAATGTAATATGCTCTTTCTGTACCTAACAGAAATGTGCAAATGGAAATTCAGCCAATATTTGTTTACGACGTGTGTACTTGATGACTGCTGGTAAACCAACCTTGCTTTTAGTGCTGATCTCACTGCTCTGGGAGCTGCTGCTGCTGTGGCGCTTCTTGACCTTTCGAAACATCCTTCACCATGACGCCAGTGCTGCGGGTCTCCAGCTTACCAGCAGATGGAAGCAGAGTCTGAGGAGAAATAACAGCATTAGTATTACTTCAGTTCATCAAAATTAAAATCACACCCATAGTTTCCTGTAACGATGGATTTTAAATCAAAGACCAAATATTTAATAACATGATTATTTCAAGATCCATACACTGTTTAACCAATGATATTTTTTTTCCTTTGGTAGATTTCCATTTGTATGTCAGGTACAAATTTTTGAAAGAATTTATGCTTAACAGTGTACAACTGACTCTAATAACACTAAAGAGAAAGTACAATATGCTAGCCAGTAGCCAATGGAATATTTTAGAACAGAGCAAACCTAGAAACGAATATAAAAATATAGAAATAAATATGGGAAGACACACACACACACACACACACACTCTCTCTCTCTCTCTCACTAAAACATTTTCATGTTCTTCCAGGCCTTGAACTAAAAAAAAAATGTTTTTTTTAACCCATTCTCAATAAATAATTCTCATTTTTTTGATACTCGGAACCTATGGAAAATTGATTCCGCAAAAAAAAAATCTCAATCTTTTTATCTCACAATTCAGACTTTTTTTTCCTCACAATTCTGATTTTATATCTCACAATTCTTTTTTTTCTGGAAATTTTGAAAAAAAGGCTGAATCGTGAGCTATAAAATCTGAATTGCAAGATACAGTAAAAAGTCAAATTACCTTCTTTCATTTTTTATTCTGTGGCAGAAAAAAAGAATTAAGGTGTCAACAGGATTCTGAGGGAAAAAAGTCAACATTTCACAATATAAACGGAATTAAGAGATGTAAACTCTGAATCGTGAAAAAGTCAGAACGCTTTAGAAAACTTAGATTTCACCTTAGATATCATCTCATGATATCGTAATACATAATTTCATTCAATAAATCACTAAATTCAAAACAGTTAAATTTGTAAACTCAACACTGACTATTAACCAAAAAACGATGAGCCCAAGAGTGAGAGCTGTCAATGAACAAGGTTCTTTATGCAGTATTCTGCTCAGACATATTACGTTATGAAAAATACTGCCTTAGAGTATGAGAAATCCAGCATGGACATGTTCTCGGGGTTCAGGGCACTCCACGAGCCCACGCCCTTATAAAACAATGGTGCCAAACTTTGAGTACATTTCTAGGAGTCGCTCAGTCCATTTCTTCTAGGCACGAGCTCACCGCGATCCCACTGCTAATGAAAACCCCGCGGAAAGTAACGGAAACCCGTTGCTAGGATAAACACTCAGCAGCACCCCACGTCTAGCCTGACTAATGCGAGCGCAAAGGGCTCTCGTTTGGTCGTTTATTGGCATCTCTATAATTAAATATGGAGAATTTGAATTTGGTAAACAAGCACACTGGGCATACCTCTATTTTGAGCTCACTATGCAGCAGTGTACGGCCGTAATAATTACTAATAGGTAGGTTCATCAAAGCAGCGGTCGGCAGCCCCGTTTTGGCGAGACTTGCGTTGACACTTCACTTCCTGTACGGCTCCACCCAGCACTTCTTAAAGGGGACGCACGACAGTAAATGGCTGTTTAGATTGGAGTATCAACTTACTACAGTACAACTACTAAGTACTGGGCAGTATATACTACATTACAATTTTTTTAAATAGCAAATGGCTATGTTTAGAACTGATATCAGCTTACTAACTGCTCTATATACTCTAAATATATTCATTCATCATTAGCAAGAGGCTATGTATTACTGATCTTTCAGTAGAGACAGTAAATGCTTTAATTTTTAATCTTCTGGCAATATCAAATGTACTTTTCTTTCAGGTTCATAAAATAATCAGAAACACTTCAGTGTAGAGGCAGTTTATTCATGTGGCTTCAAACCCCAATAATACATGTTAAATAAATGTGACATAACCAAGAACCAAAAACACACACATTGAATGATAGCAGAATGGCATCAGATACAGCTTTCTACATCCAAGTGAGATGTTTTATTACTTCTGATTTGATATTCAGGAATATAAGAAACAATACAAAATATATATTTAGTCATTTGACTTATTATGGCACATTAAAACTTTACAATATCTTAAAATTTGACTGTAATAGTTTTAGTCAGATATTTCACAGTGGGGGAATACTAGTCACTAGTCCTTCTAAAATATCGATTGATTTTGGTCACGTCTATACAACTGTTTTAGTGGCAAAAAGAGAAAATCTATGAAAATATGCACATCCCTCGGCTCTGTAATCAGTGTTTCACATATTCATACTGGTATATTAAAATGACATGAGATGCTATAGAGCAGGGTTCCTCAAATCTTGCCCTGGAGGGCCAATGCGCTGCAGAGTTTAGCTCCAACCCTGATCAAACTCACCTACCTGTGATTTTCTAATGATCCTGAAGACATTGATTAGCATGCTCAGGTGTGTTTGATTAGGGTTAGAGGTAAACTCTGCAGGAAAGTGGATCTCGTGGGCCAGATTTGAGGATCCCTGCTATAGAGAATATAGTAGTACAAATTAAACTGAGCAAACCTTAAAATGCAAAATATTTAAAATTTGTAACATCCTGTGCAATTTCTATCTTTAGGCCTTAAGAACATGTAAAATAAAACTCATAAATCGCATCTCCTCTTACAGTCTCCATACACATATGACACTTAATTCATAAACATATGGCATAGGACATGCATAGCTTGAATCTTCTCAGCAAGTCGACCAGTGTAACATTAAAAGTGTGACGACACGTATAGAGTCGTGCTGTAGTCCTGCTGCTCATGAGGTATAAATGAATGAGAATACAAGAATTTGCACTACTGGATGTATGTTACAAGGCACAAACTGACTGTATTAAAGGAATATTCCAGGTTAAATACAAGTTAAAGGAATCGTTTACCAAAAACGAAAATTCTGTCATCAATGCCTTTATGAACATTTTGAAGTGTGAAAGTTTTGGAGGAATGGATTTTAAATGAGGGACAGAAATCTCTCATCTCTTCATTTGTGATTTTTGGGTTTGGAAGGACATGAGGGCGAGTAAACAATAGCATCATTTTCATATTTAGGTGAACTGTCCCTTTAAGCTCTATGTGATTGTCAGTTACCACAAAAATGATTTTGATTTGTACTTCGGTTTATAAAAACTAAAATTGCCTAAACTGTTACAACAGACGTATATAGGACAAATGTACAATAATTGATGGAGTGGTTCACCCTAAAATGAAACTTGTGTCATCATTTCCTCAACCTTGTGTTTTTCAAACCTGCATTACTGACTTTCTCCTGTGGAACACAAAAAGAAGATTTTATGAACCACGTTTCTACTGTTTTTGTCCATACAATAAAAGTCAATGGGGTCCAAAAGAATATAGGACCCCAATGACTTTCATCCATCTGTGGTTCCACAGAAGAAAGTCAGTCATACATGTGAGTAAAAAGATAATATAATTTTCATTTTTGTATAAACTATCTTTTTAAACTCGTAGCCTTTTGTTTCAATATCTGTCAGCATGTCTTTTTGCTGGCTTCTGAAAACTGCTGAGTCAAGTTTCACAGCCAAAGATGCCGTCCAAAGCGGTTTTGAATTTATTCCTTTAACTTGTGTCATTTCTCTTGGCAGTTTCTGACATGCGTTTAAAGTAACACTATTTTTATTAACAACTATAATTGTGCATTACAGGAATGCTACAAAATTTCTAAGAACCAACTGAAATGTGTCAGCAGTTTACACATCACAGACTTTTAAATGCACCAACAAAATGAACCCCGATTGCACCCTGATCTTCACAGCTCATGTCTCAATCAAGTGATCTTATACCAGTGTCCTCAGCTCACCGTCTCCTTACTGTCAATGCACGCCTGTCTCGTCAGCCGTCTCTTGTCCCCGCGGGATGGCGTTGACTGTCCGGTGAGGTCCTCGAAGGACCTGGCAGCTGTGCCGCTTTGACGGAAGCCTTCCACCTCGTCCAGGTGAGAGTCTCCGCTGGGGTCCTCCTCGATTGTGGCCATTCGCAGCGGATCCGCTTTGAGTGCGGCGGAGAGGTTGGCAGGGCCTGGGCCGGAGAGCGTCTCCTGTGCCGGTGAGACGGCGGGGCCTGTGGGGCCCAGTAAGGGCTGAGGTCGCGCTGCCGCTGAATACAGATGATGGGCCTTCACAATGCGGATGGGCGCCGATTCCAGACTGCTTAGCATCTCTGCGCTCTAAGGACAGAATTTTGGGATGGAATAAGTAAATGAGACTTCCAAAAGACTCGGTATTCATAGTATTCACTACATCCTGCACAAACAGGGATGGGCACAAGTACTCGGAAGTGACAGCAATTATCGATTATGAAAGTACTAAATGAATAACTGTTTAATTATTCATTTAAAATCGAACAAAACACAAGTGGTTTTAAACTATTTTTGACATGACATCTTAAAACAGTGACTGAATTAACGGCAAAACACAATACAAAGACCAAAGATCCATATGATGCGAAAATACGTAAACCAACTACTGATGTACCAAAACTTGGACAAATTTTTATTAATAATTTTTTTAAATTCAGCATTTCTTGCATCATTTTATTTTAATTGTATTTTTAGATTTTATTTTTATAATAGCACTTTACTGAAAATTCACCACAAAAGTGGGCAGAAAAAAAGAAAATGATAAAAAAACAATACACAAAAATAATAATTTATATATATATATATTAATTTATGCACAATTTGGTAACACTTTACAGATTTAATTTGTTAACATTAACTATATTAATTAACTTTAACAATATTTATATAGCATTTATTAATCTTACTTAATATTAAGTTCAAAATTTACTAATACCTTATTAAAATTTGAAGCTGTATCTGTTAACATTATTTAATGTACTTTGAACTAACATGAACATTGTTATTAACTAACATTAACAAAGATTAATAAATGCTGTAAAAATACATTGTTCATCGGTAGTTCATATAATATTTAATGCATTAACTAATGTTAACAAATGAGATCTTATTGTAAAGTGTTATCCATAATTTTAATTACATAGTAGCACAGTTATAATATTCTGATTTATCGGTCAAGCACGAGTGCACAAACGAATGCCCATCCCTATGCATAACATAAACAGCATGCTACACTTGAGTTAAATGCAGCAAAATATGCACCTGCCAAATCAGTAATGGTCCATTCACATCTCTTGAACCAAATCAAATAAAGAGCCGGGCACCTGTAGCGTATGCAGTATCAAGAGAGTTTCAAAGCTGTGCATTTAAAACGCTCCAATACCGAACTGCATCCAAAATAAAAAAATTTGAACCAGAAACCGGCCACACATCCTCATGGACACTGAATGCACGAGACATACAGGACAAGCTGAACTAAACTCAGTCGGCCCGTCACAATCAGCGCGCTCCGACTCATCACACTCAGGGGGCACAGCGGTGCGGGGGGCCGTATGACGCTCACTCACCTGAGTTGAGAGCTCTACTACACACCTCCACCGCCATCTGCTGCAGTTCCACAAGGGTCAGAGCAAACAAGCCACAAGTCATACATATGCAGCCATGCTTGCCCATACTAGCCCTGATAAAAGACGCCAAGCTAACTGGATGAGCAAGTTATGTTACCTCGAGGTGCTGGATGACTTTAATGCAGGTTTAGTGTTAGTAATCTGATCTGCTGCGAGAGAAAGGAGCCATGGTGGGAGTTTTAGTTTTGTGACAGAAGGACTTACACTAGGGTACGTCATGGTTTTGGAGTTTTCCTCATATTGCTGATCCAGTTTCTTGTCCTATTAACAAGCAAAGAGAGACGATCACTGTAATGTCTTGTCTTTAAAGGGCTCGTTTAGCCAAAAATTACAATTCTGTCATCATTTACTCACCATTGTACTTACATAATTACTTCTGTAGAAGTATTATCAGAAACAGACGTTTCTGAATGTGACGGCAATATAAATGAAATTATGGCAAAATACCATCAAATTTCAGTCTGTTCCTCACAGTGTTATTGTTAACTAAAAAATGTTTTTTGTTGATTGAAATAAAGCTGAAATAAGATATAAATATCAGATGAAAAACTTAATTCAAAATGAATAAAATAAGTTTTAAAATAAGTATTTCAATTACTAAAACAGAAATAAAAATAAAAACTGAATAGAAACATTAAAAAATGAATAATATGACAAAACCATAACATAAAAAAATAAAACTTAAACTAGTTCATATCAAAATGACCAAAACTTTAACTTAAATGAAAATGAAAAGTATAAAAAAAGCTAATTTAAAATATTAATAAATACTATAATAGTATATAAATATTGCTAAAATACTGGTTAAAATATAAATACCTAAAAACATTTAAAATATAACAATAAAAGTGAATTCAACCCTAACCTATATTAATGAATACTATATTAGTGTATAAATAATGCTAAAATACTGATTCCTCACACAAAGCTATCGCTTGGCTTTAGAAGACTTGTAATACAGCGTACAAGTCGTATGGACCACTTTTATAATATTTTAGGGCTTGACTGTCAAAATTCAAACACACTTTTTGCATGGACAACAGCAGCTAGTGCTTTCTACCAAACAAGTTCCACAGAAGAAAGTCAAAGATGTTTGGAAGTACATGAGTATGTGTAAATGATGACCGGGTGGACTATCCCTTTAAGAAAAATCAGTTCAGAAAAACATATTGACTGTGATATAGGTCTCACCACACAGTGCACCAGTATGCTTAGGGGAATCCAGAACAGGAGAGAGAAGACCACCACTGATCCAACTATGTTGTCAGCCAAGAACTTCCCTGAACATTGACAGAAAAGAGTCACCACTAGCATTTACAAAACATACAGAAAAGGTCCTGGTTAAATTCACCCTGTTATCATCTCTTACCAAATGTGTTGATGTCCAGTTTGTCTATGAAGTCCCATAAACGTTCGATGACATCTTGGACGTGCTTCATGCATTTACCCTGGAATGTGCAACACCACAGCATTTGTCACACCAGTGAAAACACTATTCAGTCTGATAAATGATCATTGTCAAAACAGAAACAAGCAGTGTACTCACGGCCCCATCACAGAAGCCAACGGTACAGGGTTTGCCCTTGCGCAGGTAAAGATATGACCCATCACTGATAAAGGGAGTGCACAGCCCGCTACTGCTTCTACAGCACACTTTGCAAGAGTCCTCAGTCTCTGAAAAACATCACAGCAAACGAACAGACTCAGCACTTCTGCATTCATAATTACAGGTAAAACATTGAACACTATTATTAGTATGTGTGTTTTGGTTCTAGCTTCAGTTTACATCAACCATCTCAATTAACGGGCCAATGTAACGCAATTTTGAAGTGGTATGCATTGGCCAATATCTGTGCAGTTTCTGTTTACATATATTTGGGGTGAATGTTGTGTAAAATAGCCTAAATAATCCCGTAATTTCAGCCTCTTTTTTTTTACATCTTACCTGCTGTCATTATATAGAGAGAATATAGTTGGGGATAGTTGTCACAAAGTCTGTATACTTTACACTAATCAAAAGCTTGGGGTCAGTAAGATTTTTACTTATTATTATTAATTTTTAAAAAGAAATTAATACTGATATTCAGCAAGAACGCATTAAATTGATCAAAACTGATAGTAAAGACGTACATTTTTTACAAAAGATTTCCATTTCAAATAAATGCTGTTCTTTTGAACTGTCTATTTATCAAAGAGTTCTGAACATGACTAATAAAAATAAATAAAAATATTTCTTGAGCACCAAACAGCATATTAGACTGACTTCTGAAGGATCATGTGACACTGAAGACTGGAGTAATGATGCTGAAAATTCAGCTTTCCGTCACAGGAATAAATGACATTTTAAAATATATTCAAATAGAAAACTGTTATTTTAAAATGTAATTTTTCACAATATGACTGTTTTTTTATTTTGAAACTAACCTTTAAAAAAAAAAACACACACATATAAAAAAAAAAAATGAAATATTTGATAATCATTAAGAAATTAAAAAAATCTCTTATATGACCTGCATTTTTTCCCCAGACAATAATTATATAAATGTTCAAAAGCTTTATTGTAACCAAGATATTAAAGTCTTTGTCTCTACAGTGTTATATTGTCCATCGCTGCTCACTAGGTATGAACACTGATCATCCAAACAGGTCTCTTGTTTGGGCACTAGTGTGAACACAGAAGAGGGTTTGATGAGACATTTACCATTGCAGGCACAGGACTCAAGATTATGCATAGCCTCGCAGAAAGGCTTGCACTCGCCCTTCTGACATCGACCCTTATCCACACACTCTGTATTATCCACCAGGTTTCCAGGGGTGGGGCACTCACTGCTGTTGCCTAGGGATACACAAGGGTAAAAAGTATAATTAATCCAGACCACTGCTACATTGACATTGGAGAGTTTGGAGCTCACCTGTGCACTTTGACATGCCCTTGCAGGTGGCGGTGATGATCTCCTGACAGGTCTTATTTGCACTTTCAAACCTACAGTCCTTGCAGCAGGGGCTGTTCCTGTCACTGAGGGTCACAGACAACAATATCAGCCACAAATACTGATAGCAACAATGCCCTTAAGATAACCACACTTCCTAATAAAATTTGCAACCACTTGTCACCAGCTGTCATCAGTCAGACTATGGAAGAAAAATTTGCATAAAGAAATGTTTAATAACTCTATATAAACCTTTCAAGACAATCGATGGATTACGGTTCTGTTGAAGCCATCAGCCAGCATAATTAAACTTAATTTATAAAATGTACGCAATAGCCGATTTCAATTCCCATTAATATACAAAAAATGTAATTTATTCCTGTGATGGCAAAGCTGAATTTTCAGCATCATTACCCCAGTCTTCAGTGTCACACGATCCTTCAGAAATTATTCTAATATGCTGATTTGCTACTGAAAGGGATTAAAGGGATAATTCTGTCATTAATTACGCACCCTCATGTCGTTCCAAACCCGTAAGACCTTCATTCGTCTTCGGAACACCTAATTAAAATATTTTTGATAAAATCCGAAAGCTTTCTGACCCTGCATAGACAGCAAAGGAACCACCACATTCAAGGCCAAGGACATTGCTAAAATAGTTCGTGTGACATCAGTGGTTCAACCTTAATTTTATGAAGCTATGATAATACTTTTTGTGCGCAAAGAAAATAAAAATAAAAATTTCTTCTTCCAGTCGGTCTCCACCTCCATTCACAAGAGTACCACGGCGCATGCGTGTCCATTCCCCTGCTTGTAAACAAGGCGCAGTGCATCCAGGTTCTACGTCAGAACGCCGGCTCCAGCGTCAGCAGCACCAAACGCACGAGTCATGTGCACTGATGTCACATGGACTATTTTAACAATATCCTTACTACGTTTCTGGGCCTTGAACGTGGTAGTTCCCTTGCTGTCTATTAGAGCCCGACCGATATGGGTTTTTTGGGGCTGATACCGATACCGATATTAGGGAGTAAAAAAGGCCGATATCGATATATCGGCCGATATTCTTTGTGTATATTATAGTACAGTACCAGTCAAAAGTTTGG